ATCTTTCACACCCCCCCCCCCCCCCCCCCCCTGCCTTGGATGGTTCGAGCGAAGGCTGGGAATTGTTTTCGAAAGTAAACATATCCTCACAGAAAGACTACCCGTTCGAGATATAACCTCAGTCGAAAGGGATATGTTGAAGAATTTTCCTATTTCTGTCTTGGAACCTTCGGGTGGTTCCGTTGCGTCGCCCGTTGTGTTTGTACTCGTAAGTTGTTTTGGGGTGTGGCCAGTCGTTGTCTCCGAAACTTCCGGGCAACCTGTCACGCCTAAAACGTTTGCTTTGTACGTTCGTTGGGACGGTTATCGATGCACTTGGTAGAGGTCATAAGGGCTATTCTTGATGGAAGACGAGCTTGTCAGCAGGCGGTAGCGCGGCAGCCGCCGTTCCCTTCACTGCTCTTCAGCAGGAACATACCAAAGAAATTACCGGCACTGCTCTCCTCCCTTCTCCAATTTTCAGCCCACTCTCAACCCACACGGCCGTAAAACCGTGCTTGAAGCATTCGAGGCTTAGACGACTTGTCGCAGCCCGGCAAACCCTAGTGGTCTCTGTGTGCTTGCATGCATGTTTCCTAAAAACTGTGACCCCCCCGTGCCCCACAGGACGAAACCCCCGCGGCAGCATCAACCAACAGTTCCGCTCACATACTGGCGGCGAAAGAGCAGTCTCCCATGTCTCGGATGGGCGGGCCAGGGAGGGACCGTGCCCAGTACCGGTTCTGGCTGGTGATGGCCATCGGAGGTGTAGCCGTGGGATCGTTCTTGGCCGTTGTGGTCTTCGCCGTGGGGCAGTACCGCAAGGTGGGAGACCCGCCTGGACGGAGGCGTTTTCGTAGGAGAGGGGTTCCGCAGTGGGAAAGTGATTGTGCGCTCTCTTTTTTTGGGGTGTGGGTGTGGGGGGTACTGCATGCCGTAGTCGTTAGACCATTGACCTCGCATCCCTATCAATAGCCGGAACGGGTTCTCACCGGACCAGGGGGGGCGGGGAAGACGCGGTCTTTCGATGCATGCCGTGATCCTCCTTACTGTTTCGTTACATGGTAATGTCGCTATTTTTCAACGCACGTACATGAGCGAGGACCGTGTGGGGGACATAGAGAAAATGGGAGTTAAACGGGTGGTTTGTTGCGTTTTTCGGACGGACTCAGGGGACGGGTGTGCGTGGCAAGCCCGCGACGGCGTGTGCATGACCTCCGTTCACATAAAGTAGCCCTGTTTTTTCCCGAATGCTTGATGGCCTGGTTGGAGTTTCGGGAGTTCGTCGCTGCTCCATCGCATGGCAAGAGGGTTTGATGCTTCAAGCAGAGAGCAGTCGGATCACAAATCATTGTTTGCGGTGCATTCCTTGCTCTTCCCATATACTTGCATCCCGATGAAACATTTTCCTTTTCAATCCATTCCCTTCGGCGTGGTTGTATCACGTACGTTTCGGTAAGTACATCTTCTGAAGAAAATATCGATAGCACTACGGCACAAACAGTCTCTTACTTACCTGTAAAAGAGACGGATTTGTTGTCTTTGGTATACAAGAACGAACAAAAGAAACAGTCTCGCTTTGCCGTGTGTTCGGTGCGGTGTGTCTAAACTGCTGCGTCTACCTGTCTTTCTATGCGTGCGTCGTCCATTTCCGCCCAGGAGCGGCACCGTCTCCGAGGTATCATGGCCCTCAACGAGTTCCCCCAGGACAACTACATCAACCCGTTCGCGAAGCAGCTGTCCTCGGACCTATCAGACGAAGATCGATCGGCCTTCAAGTTGTAGGGAGATGGTCGCCGCTTGGTCCACCTACGTCCGTTAGCAGGTCGTCCTTGGTCGCACGAATTTTTGTACCCGTGTAGCTGGCGAAACACCGACGGTGTGGGTTGTACGAGGGTGGTTCTGACGTTTCGTTTTTAGTTGTTATGTTCCCAGTCTTTGCCTTATCTTGTCCTTTGGCCAGTCTTGCGCTTGCAATGTACGCCTGTGGATGATGTTGTCCACCAGCGATGGTGACAGCAGCGTTTTTTTTTCACTTTTTTTTGTTATTTGTTCATCTTGTGTGTGCGTTTTCTAGGATGACTGTCCTCGACTGTACTACTTGTTATTCCCCGTCTGCTGTTTGTGCCACGATCTGGTCGGCTGCGCTTGGCCTCCCACACCCGAGATAATGGGCTTGGGGGGGGCTGGCTCCCTGTGAGAGTAAGTTGAAAACGTCGGCTGCGCTCGCCGCACATCCGAGATTGTGGTTTGTGTCTTGTGTTGTGGTCTTGTTTTTGTGATGCTTGAAAGGCAGAGGTAGGTTGTACAACAACCTTATCTTCCGAATACTCTTTTAATTAGGTTTTCCCTCGAGCGCGCGCGTCGCAACGAGGCGCGTTTGTGGTGAATCAGATCTCTTCACGTTGTATTTGTTGGAGCAATGCCTACAGCCCCAACACCTTCCCCGACGAACGCCGGTCTCGCTGTGGTAGCACGTGCACCTTTCGAGCCTTGGGGAGTTTTGACAGATAGATAACGCCAGCGGCTGAGCTCGGCCCTTTCCAGGGATGTTGATGGCGCGGGGGGGTTCTCTAACGTCCTGCTTGGTCTATGCTATCTAGTCACAAATCGTTGGGAGGGGGGAGCGCCGTGGCGTGGCATCGCGGCGTAGACGATGATGATGAAGGTCCGCTTTTTCTCTGCGAGTACCCGAAATAGTTTTTTCATGTGCTCTTTTATTCCGTGTGTAGATGTGATGTATGATATAATGGCCCTTGCCGTTAGTGCGCTACGTGCATGACTCCGCCACCGTTTCGAAAGCAATCCGTCCAGTTTTTGGCTCTTGGTGCCAACGATCTAGTTGTCCGCGCAACTCGGCCTTGATATTGATGCTAGCCCTCCTATGTAGACGGACAGCTGCTGTCTACCGCAGGGTTGCAACCTTCCGTATGTCCTAAAACCCGGCGTTAGTTGCCGGGCTGCAATACGGCAGATAACAGGGTTTGCTCTTTGTAGGGTAGGTTGGTGCATGTGGTGGTTTCGTCTGCCGTCGGTTGTCGAAATTTGCCGGAACTATCCCTCCGCACGGATGGGAACATCTGGTCGCTATCCTGTCGCTCGGAAAACGGTCGATTTTGAATTTGAAGGTGATAACGAGAAACGTGAATGTGATAATCCTCGATGTTTACGTCCAAAAGCAGTCAACCGTGCGTGGGCTACGGCACAATCCTTCCCATAATGGGCTCCTGGGTGGACCAACGTTCCCGTGGCCTGCTTCGCTATGGGCGGGGGGGGGCTTCGCGGCTTGTGTTCGTCCCGTCGCGGATATTTGAGACAAAAGTCGCGCAACAAAGGCGAAGAACGATTTGTGCACCTCGCTGCGTTTTGTCGCCCAATCACGAACACCGAATGAATGCGAGGGTTCATTCGGTAGATGTCGTAATCTCGCCACAGTTGTCGGCATGAATGTCCCACAACGAACGCATTTAAATGCCGACTACTTCTGCTGTGGCGAGATGCAGGGGGTAGTAGCATGTAATATGGATGATGCGGTTCAAACCAGATCAGCATTTGAGCCGCTGTCGGGCAAGGGGTGGGCCATGCGAATGAAAATGACAGGGACAGAAGAAGTGAATTTAGGTCGGTAGAGACCCAAGCTCTCGGGAATTAGGTATGATGCGGTTCAAGCCTAGACTTCGGCAGCCAGGAAAAACATCACTCCGCTCACGCGAACGCTAAATAAGCGACCAAAACACAAAACAAACACCCAAACTAACGCACTGCTCTTGAGAGGGAAGTCGACACCGACACCGACGAGTGAAGGTAGGTTCTCTTTGAAATCAGAGCGAGATGTAGATTGCGATGAACATCATCCAACCTGTGGCGATCTGCAGCAGCAGTCGATCAGAGGATGTGCTTTAAACGCGAGCGCAGTCTCGTTACCAAGTTCCGGTGATGGCAGGCCACGCTATTTAGCTGTCCTTTCGGCCAACTGCATTGACCGATTAGGTGAAACTTGAGCACGACAACGTCGAATCTACCCAATGTTGTAGTGGCCTCACATTACCCGGTCGTCTGGGTTGTCAGGCTCAGGGGCTTGATCGGCACGTCTCCGGTAGGGTGTACCAAGGGAGCCAGAGAGGCAAAGCCTGTGACGACCTGCCCCTACAAGCACGGCATGTTTCACCCGCTGCGGCGGGGTAATTTACAATTTTCGCATTCGCTTCCCCCGCCCATCGGGCTAGTAGACAAACCCGACAAATAAATGTTTGTGCCAATCATGCCTCCGCCAAAGTGGTAGCACCAAGCACTCTTCTCCTACTACCCCCCCATCTTCCTCCCTTTCCACGCTGGCTTCCTTAGTGCTCTTTTCTATCTCCACCATTTGTCTACATAGATACCATGCTTCCTTTCCACCATACGTCCTCCTTCTCCCTGTTTTTCTAACTTCTTGTCGACACGAAAATACGAAAATATACTCCCACCACCATGAAAAATGAACCTGCCGAGAATATCTTTAGAGGACCAGTACGGTTGCCCGAGGCAAGCTGCGTTGCATTGTCTTCTGTCGAGACACGAAAAACATACTTTCAGAACTTGAAGAAAACCAGTAACGAAACCCCCGCGGTACAGTAGGGGGGGGGGGGGGGCACGCCTACTTCGATTTTCCGTTGTCCTCGTCGAGCAGCACATCGGAGCTCAGGTTCGCGAGGGGGTCGTCGTTGTTGGCCTTGGTTAACCGGTACGCCTCCATGTCCTCCTTCGTCACCTGGACAAGGACCAAAAACACAAGACACATGAAAAAAAAATCACGATAGCCGTAACAAACACCGTGTAACACGACGAAAAAAATATTGATTGTAGGCACAAACAAACTCAACATAAGCCCAGCATCCAGCCAGCCGGTTCCTGTTCCCCTTTCACTGCTGTAACGACTTCAACACGCCCCTTTTTGACTGGGGGTATTATATCATCTCGAGCCGGGTAGTGTTTAAGTGTTTCAGGTGACTGCATGTACCGTAGGTTGCGTAAGATGTCAAACCCCCTGGAGCGATTTTCAAAGCTCGATTGCTCCACGCCGAAGAGGATGCCGAAATTGAAGAATACGTTGTCGAAAAGCTCTCGACGAGACGGTTCCAACGCCTAACGCCATTTTCGGCACCGTCACTGCTTTTCCTGCCGAGATATCGAGCTTCGAAAATCGGTCCAGGGGGTGTGATGTCTCATGCATCCAATGCAACGGTATAGAAGTAAGTATTTTACATGGCAGCACTAGCTTTTTGCGATGGACAAAACGCACGCGCTGGCAGCGTCTTAATGTTAATGAGTAGTTGTCTTCCAGAGTGTCTTCTTCCGTTCCTTGTTAAATCTTCTGCGCAGCATTCTCCTACTGCATATACTCCTGAAGTAGGCCCAGGATGGCGATCAAAACTTCTTCTTTCTTTACCGGATGGGTGATTCGTAAAGAGATACGCCGCAGGCCAGAACAGCCTTGAATGGCCACGCGATCAACTGCCGCCACACTACAACCATCATCACCACCACCACCACAGTAGCAGCAGCAACAAGAACAAGAACAAGAACAAGAACAAGAACAAGAACAAGAACAAGAACAAGAACAAGAACAGACAGCAACATCAACGACCAAAAACTTACATCCGATGACGTCATGGAGTTGTACTTGCGCTTCCGGTCGTCCACCTCCCCTCCCCCCTTGCTCAAGAACGCCTTCTGCTTCTTCACCGCCTGCGTTCGTGCGCGCAGTTTCAGTCACACCGCAAGCAAGTTGTCATGTTGTTGGTGGACCAGACACGACAAAAAACGCGGGGACAACGAACAAAACTTAACGTCAGGGTTCATTCGCCCTACTGCTGTGCTGTTGCTATTTTGTAAGACAAGAAAAGCCGTTGGCCCTGGCAACGACAGACAAATTTGAGTACATGACGCAAAGAGAAGCATTTTTGGGAGGCGTGCGTGGCGACTCAATGGCCGCGAAGCAAGTCCGACAACAAACGTTGAAAATCACACGGTATACCAGCAACACCCGCAGCAGCAGCAGCCACAAAAGCACAACAACAGCCAAGCATCGTGCAGCGCTCGGGTAAGCCACTCCGGACGTGCATCAGCCATAGCCCAACGTGTCCTGTCTGAAGCGTTTATATATCAACGTCATTATTTACTGAGATCTACATGTAGTCTAGCGCGCCAACCGAGTGACCCACTGCTGCTACTTCATCGACTTTACAAAAAGAAAAAAAAAAATAGACACAGGGACGGTCATGACCACCACCAAGCAACATCCGCTACCGCAACCACTCCCACTACAAAGCACGCAAAAGCTAAGAAATAGCAATGACGATGACAACAGACAGAACAACAGCCTAACGACAACGGCGACAAGAACCGTAGGTTACCTCCTTGAGCTTGTCCTCGTCTAGGTCAACGTTAGCCGTACCCTCTCCGTAGAGGTCCGATCGTGCCGTCATCTCCGGCACCTGCAAAAACAGACACACGTACAGGGATGCAAAGAACCACACACGTAGAGGAATAAGTGCCAAAATAGAGAAGAGAGAAACAAACTACCATCAAATGCTATGATCCATTGACTCCCCCTTGAGATGAAAAACAATCATTTAATCACTCGCCCTTGCAAAAAATAAACACAAAGAATGAGATCGAGAAAAAAGTATGAAAACTCTACTGGTAACTTGGTTTTGGAAAAAAGTCGCAACGTAACAAGAGTTTTTTTCATCATCTACAAGTGCTCGAGAAGACACTGCTATTATATTTATCTTACCTTGGACGCTTCCCCCTCCTTTCTTCCCTCGAGCATCTTCCGCTCGCCCGCCAGGTCGACGTTGAGCACAGAGTTGGCCTCATCGTTCGCAACCTTCTCGCACACACATACGGAGACAACAAATGGGTGGTGACATTGTTGTAAAAATCATTATTGCAGTCCCATTTACTGATCATCATCACACACACATACGGAGAGAACAAACGGGCGACATTGCTGTAAATAATCATTATCGCAGTCCCATCTTGTGATCATTATTCGCCCTCTCATAAGTTGCACACACGCACGAAAATAAAAACGGGGTGACATTGCAGTAAAAAACATAATGGAATAATAGTCCCTTTTAAGGATCGCTAGTCCCATTTTCACAGCTAAACCACTACCGTAGTCCCTTTTACTGATCGTCAGTCCCACTTTCACAGATAAAAAACATTATCGCAGCGCCATATACTGATCGATCGTCGGGCGCACCTTCACAAGTTACACACACGCACGAAGACAACAACAGGGTGACATGGCTGTTGAACACATTATCGTAGAGTGCCATTTTACTGATTGTCAGTCGCACTTTCAGTTTTGAACATTATCGTAGTCCCTTCTACCGATCGTCAGTCCCACTACCACAGTTAACAAAAATATCGTACTGGCATCCACTCATCGATCGTCAGTCGCACCATCACAGTTACACACACGGAAGAAACAACAAAGGGTGACGTGGCTGTAAAAAACATCGACGTGGTCCCGTTTATTGATCGTCACTCGCATTTCACAAGTCAATCTGATTTAGCGACCCCGCGGAAGGGCAGAAAAGTGGCCGACCCCCCCCCCCCCCAACGCAGTCGTCCCCCCTTTCAGGACACTCTCTGGTCATTCATGTTAATAGTGTCATTAAAGTGGGCAAGTGTCCCCCCAAGTGATACCCCTCTCTGTATATTACATTCTGCGGGGCACCATGCTTCGGACAAACAGTTTCTTCCTTCAAGCATCGGGTGCCCCTAGTTTAGGTGCCCTTAAAGCGGGGACTACTGCTGTACGACAAAAAGAGGTAAGGGACGGGCTACACGGCAATCCGAGACCTCACGTTACCGCACGACTTCACGACAAAAACAAAATGTGAACTTGCGGTCAAGGGTTACACCGCAAGCCAAGCCCCTCACCTTCCCCTCCTCTCCGGTGCAGTACGACTTGAACGTGAGCGAGTGGCAGCAGCTGAAGCCCCACCTCATCGACCTCTTGTCGAAGTAGCTGCCCCACACCGACGTGTGGTTCGACGGGAACACGTTCTCTTCGTACTTAGATTTCGCGACGGCCTGCGCGTATCCGATTCGATCCGATTCCCGGGAGAGGACAGCAGCGGCAAGTGCAACGGCGGGACAAATTATGAGCGAAGACGAAATGTCAATGGGACGAACGAGGCAACAGCAGCGAGGGTGTGTCTGTGTGTGTACTCATGTAAACCCACGCACGCCGTAGTCGTGAGGCCTGTCATTACCTGCGTGGTTTTCTGTTCTCAACCAAGTCCAGTCAAGCAGCCGGTCGGGTCGATTTGGCCACTTTTTGCTTCGTGCTTGCTGCTCCTATTCATTCAAGTACAACGTAGAGTCGAAACCGCCACGATCACCACCCGCCAATCACCTCACGACGTTGTCTACAGTTCAGTCAAGCCCAGCGCGGGTCGGAATCGCCCCGGTCATCATCAGCCAATCACCTCAAGACGCAGTCTACTGTTCATTCAAGCCCAGCGCGGGTCGAAGTCGCCCCGATCAACACCAGCCAACCACCTCACTACGTTGTTTCCAGTCAAGCCCAGCGCGGGTCGAAGTCGCCCCGATCAACACCAGCCAACCACCTCACTACGTTGTTTCCAGTCGAGCCCAGCGCGGGTCGAAATTCATCATCAGCCAATCAATCAAAACAATCAATCACCTTCGGCGCGCCCTTGACGACACGGCCCGTGCGGTCGTACTCCACGTAGCTCTCCGTCTGCCCCACCAGCAGCCTCGCGTCCGGCACGTCCAGGTGCTCCGACCCTCCGTACTTGTCGAGGATGCGCTGCTTTTGCTCCTATTGGCCCAAGAGGGAATGGCGTTTGCAACACACAGCAGCAGCAACGTCAGGGAGACTTGAGTTAGCATCCATGCAGCACTACTACCGAAATCGATGGGGTTTCTCCCCAATGTGGTTTGCACCCAATGGCGTTTCCCCCCAACGGGGTTTGCACTCAATGGCGTTTCCCCCCAACGTGGTGTGCACCCAATGGTGGTTCCCCCCCGTGGGGTTTGCACCCGATGCCGTTTCCCCCAAATGTGGTTTGAACCCAATGCTTGTTTCATGAGAAGCATTGCCCTGTTCGGTTCTGTCCGTGCACTCGTCAAGGATGTACAGGATACGCCGCTGGCGGTGTTCCTCCGTAAGGAAAAAAGACCGGGAGATAACGATAACAACAACAACGACGGCAATGACGACAACTGCAACTGCAACTGCAAAAGCAACGACAACAACGACAACAACAACAACAACAACAACAACAACAACAATTACAAGGACAAGGACAAGAACAAGAACGAGAACAAGAACAAAAACGAGAACAAGAACAAAAACGAGAACAAGAACAAGAACGAGAATAAGAATAAGAGCGAGAACAAGAACAGCAACAACAGCAATGACAACGACAACGACAAGAACAACAAGAGCAAGAACAAGAGCAAGAACAAGAACAACACATGAATCCATCACATCCTGACGATAAAATCTACGCACCTCCTTGAGAGTGGTCTTCTTGTCGTCGAACTTCTTCCTGAGCATCTCGGCCTGGCTGGGGTCCGCTACGGGGTGCACCTCCTGCCCGCGATCGGCCGCCTCCCACGCGAACACCGACGTGCGAGCTTGCTCCCGGACGTCGCCGGTGTAACTGTCGCGAAAAAAAACAAAAAATGAGGCGTGTTTCGGCATCGACGGAAACAAACATAGATATGCTGCTCGGGGGACTGTAGAAACCCTGGTAGTGCCCGCTAACGCTATGGATACACTCGTTGCTAATTCCCCGACTCTTCTCTGTGGAAGAGATGAATTTGTTGTGTGTCGGTAAAAAAAAAAAAACATCGGAACGTAAGAACCTCTATTAATATTATGCTTTCGGCCGAGGCTGAGGTTGTTACCGTATTCCTAGGGTCATGCTACGAATGTTAATGATGGCTACATAGGTTTTGGTGTAGGGGTTCTTATCTTACCATACCAGACCTCACAAATCGTGCTCAAGTTCTTAAACATTTGATTTTTTTTAGGGTCAGTTTCTGAACTCCTCTGGTCTGAAGCGCGGGCGAGTTTGTTCTGTACATACACGTATGCCTACACCACGGCAGTGCGCGCTTGCGCACGAGGCGCACCGACACAACCAACCAAACTTGAATTTAACCGTCATGACACAAACCAACCCGAAACACACGGTACAAAAGTCAGCTCTCCTCCGCGCCCCCCCCCCCCCCCCGGGGGCCCGATGACTAGATTTGCGTGATCATGTGAGTACCCCGGTGTTTGTGCGAGGACCACGCTCCCTAGCTTGAGGATGATGGTGCCCAACCGCTGTCAGTCCACACTATATTCTGCGGACCACAACGCGTATTGTACGCGCGCGCATCTACGCATGCCACCGCTGTGCGCGCGTGCTCCGACATAACCCCGTCCGTTGCACGGTCTCATCCAATCAAAGCGTATCTCGCCACGTCATACAGCGGCTCTCCCTTCGGTTGTTGTTGCCGATCGCTACGTCAGCGTGCCAGCCCAGGGTGGCGTGCGTCTACCCCACGCCAGATGACGTGGTTCTGCAGCATGCCTCTGTACCGTGCAGAACCCCTCTGCCTGTCACTTCCACTTTTTCCCCTGCTGTTCCCAGATTTCCGTCGCCTCTTCCTAGTGAATGTGTCGTTGTCCCGTACGTACCGGTCCCACAACCATGACCACGGGAAAAAAATCGCCTGTTTAGCACAGGAACTGAGGGATCGACACCCTCCAGTCCGTTCGAGAGTGCATGATGTTTTTTTTATTGCGCCCCTTTTGCCTGGCGCCTTGTCAACCAACTTTGTCCGCTCTCGTTCAGTCTCCCGACATGTCGTCCTTCGACGATCCAAACATTTTTTTCGTTTTTTTTCAACTACCTGGCTGAACCGTCGGAGCGTCGTGCATCACCAGGTGCGAAGCCGGAATCACCGAGGAAAGCCGGTTTTTTCCCGGGGGTGCCGGCTTCGAACCCGGTGATCCACGACGCTCCGACGATTCAGAGAGGTAGGTGGTTGTAGATGTTGGGTGGTCGGAGGAGGACATGTTGGGACACTGAACGAGAGCGGAAGAGGTTGGGTGACAAGGTGTGGCTGACTTGACAAGCAAGGTGCAGCTCACTTGACAAAGGGTGCTGCTGACGCCAGATAAGGGTGTGCAAGAACTCTCGAACAAGCTTGGAGGGTGTTGATCCCTCAGTCTGCTGCGGTAAAACGGGTGATTCCCCGGAGTGGTTGTGGGGGTCGTGAGGTACGCACGGGACAAGGGCAGACTGTCTAGGAAGAGGCCACGGGAAAAGAGGGAAAAAGTGGAAGGGGCAGGAAGAGGGGCGAGCGGGGGGGCTGCGCACAGCACAGCGGTAACGCAGGACCAGCTCTGCCGTGTCGTGGGCACAGCCCACTCTGAGCTGGCACGCTGACGTAACGAGCGCCATCAACTGACGGGAGAGACGCTGCAGATATGACATGGGCAAGCCCGTACAACAAACGGGGAACACGCGCATACGGTGGCCTACGTATGCGCGCGCAACGCGTTGCGATCCGCAGTGTAGTGCGGAGGGACAGCAGCTGGGCGCGATCCTCAGGCTAGGCGCGTGGTTCTCACAAACACCGGGGAACTTACATCGTTCACGTTATCCAAACTTCTGCAATCTGTAAGGCTGGCGTCTTTCCACTAATAGTCAGCCGCTACAACGGTCGATGCGAACAACAGGAACATGCACGCACAGTTCGGAGGAATAGCCCAGCAGCCCTCCCCCTTGACTACCCCTCAAACCATGACAAGCGTGATCCGTTTTAGCCACACTAATGAGACTGACGCGTTTTCATTGGTCAACCCGTTAGGATACACAGAGCATGCATGGCCTTACAAGCGTTTTCTGTTTGTTGGGGCGCCGAGACTGACGTCTCATCATTTTTCAACCGGAAAAAAGCGCAGCCGATGCCAACAGCAAAGACGTACCCATACACCCACAACCTACCGGATGAAGTGGTAACCACACCACACAACACAAAAAAATACCTAGACACGCATTTTCGAACCGGGTGACTGGGCCCTGGTGTCCAACCTTCCCCCCGATGACTAACAGAGGATGCTTGCTTTCCTACCCCGCTACCTACGGCCTCTGTCAGCCGGTTAGCGCGGTCGATGGATGCCAATCAAATAAAATTAAGGTCCTGCCAATACTCTTCGAATGTGGTTATATCGTAATGTCTCGAACGGGTGGACTCTCTTTGATTGTGTATATTCAAACAACAGCTGCAGATTTGTGTGTGTAAAAACAGCAGTTTCAGACGTGTACTATTAGGTCTGGAGACTTGTTCGGGGAGCCAGCCGTTTTTCTGTTTTCGACCTGTTCAGAGCAGCTTTCGACCGCTTCACCCGAACAGACCGACCATTTCCTAAAAACACACAATTACACTTTTATATGTTCCACAACGAATCAACTTACCGGATGAAGTTGTCTCCAGCGAAGACGAGGTCCTCCGCCGCCGTCTCGGGCATGGGGTTGTCGCGCATCGCACGCGTCTTGGGGTCGTAGTAGGCCGAGTTGGGGTCGAGGTTGTAGAGGTACTTGGCCCTGTCTTCTCGGATACGCAGGTTTCGCACAGTTGTCTTCATCTGGGCACCACCGAGACCACCCTGCCGGGCCACTCGACCCTGTTTTTTTGTAGGGGTTGGGTGGTATTCAGGCACGGAAGTATTATGCACAGCACTATGAATCAATTTGATAAACGTGTCTTGGACTCATATCTGCGGATTAATCGCTAATTCTTTCTGGACTCAATTCTGTGCATAGACATGTAACTGTTTTGTTTTTTTTATTTTCCGGAAAAAAAGGAATTTGTAGCGAAAATGTGATGAAACATGGCGTCGATCAAAAATCAACGTTCTTTTTCCTGATATATCTGTCTACTGATTTCACGGCGGTGTCTCCTACGCTCTGGGCAGCGCCGACATCCCCGTCCGTTGCTGACCCACTCGGTCTCTAGAGCGTTGGTTACGAAGCACCGAACGGGGTCATTATTGTTGGGCCAATCGACCCCGGAAACGACTCCACTGCTTGTCAAGAACAACTTGCATTCGTCCTCGTCTGGATACCACCAACCCCTGTTGCCTCTTCGCCACGCCGAAACTCTACAAACGCACACGCGCACAAAGATGTTACCACACATGAGAGGCATGAATCTACGGGTGGGTGAGATGCTGCTGCCTGGTACGGTCGGGACCGCGCGGGCGAGTCAAACACGCAACTGAGCCCCCGCTCCCCAAAGCTGCCTCCTGTAGGTTTCCACATGGTTCCACATGGTTCCGCATGAATCCATCCGCACCATCACTACGAAAAAACCCGTACGGCCTTGTGGCATTACTTCTTTTCCACCAAGACATCATGACGCCAAAAAAAGCTTGCAACAAAAACATTTGACATGCTGCTCCCCCCCGCCGCCGCCCTTGCCTGGAAATCCCTCTGCTCGACGTCCTTCTGCACGAACTCCCGGTTGTCCTCATCTTCGGAGCCCCCATCCTCGTCAGAGTCGTAGTCGGAAGCGTCAGAGTCCGACCCCGTGTCCTCATCGCTGTCCTTCTCGCTCTCATTGCCCTTGCCTGTGGGTGCGTATGTGTTTTGTGTGTAAAATCATACTTTAATAATATGTAGCAGAGGGCGACATGAGAAAAAATAGGCTTGTTCACGTAAGTACGGCGGTACAAGCAGCCGCTGTATCTCGGCACTTCCACCAGAAGGACACAAAAAACGTGTCAGCAAAGATACCATACCGAGGTCCATTGCCATACGTCAGCAGCCGATGGCAAGCCAACATAAGAGAAGAGCCATGAATAAACTCATCGGGAAACCAAACCCGACTATTACAGTTCCCGGAATGTTGTGCTTCTCATGATGTCGATGCCATGATTGTACGTGCCATGAACTATGTTTACCCGGCACACTTCCCTCCCACATGTCGCCATTGATAATTGATAGTTATGTACGTCTATTTTTTGGTTGATTCTTGTCGAACGGCTGATTTCGTCGAGCGACGTCTCACCTCCCCCGGCAACATCGCTGTCGTCGTCATCGCTATCCACAGCAGCGGTCCCGTTCGCACCGCCGCCGCTCGCTGAAGCGGTACCATTCGCGCCTCCCCCGTTGGACGCCGAACCGACACCGGTTGTGCCGCTTTTCGCCGCTGCTGCGGCTTTTGCGGCCTTTCTGATCTCCCGCAGTTTTTCCTTGGCCTGCTCAGGTGATCAGGGCGAGAGAGCGGTAAAGGGGTGAGGTGGATGGCCAGGGGTAAAAAAAAAATGCCATACATCAGTGTGCAACGTGAATCTCGTAATTCACGCCGCGGCCACGCTGTGCATCAGTCTTGCAACATAAGTCCCATACTTTCACGCCGCAGCCACGCTGTCAATCTACAACACACACAATGTCTCACGCTACAGTGGCCGTTCTTCCATGCCATCAAACATGAAACGCGCGCGCTACCGAAACTATAAACAAGAGGATGCGCGTTTGATTTCCTGGAGCCAATCGACTTGCTTGCTTGCCAGGGAAATGGCAACTGATCCATACTCACCAGGGCACCATCTCCAGAAAGGGGCTGACGGTGTACTAGGCTTGAGTGATCACACACATGAAGCCCACTTAGGTATCCAAACAAAGATAGAGAAAGGATTGTACAAGGGAGCTCATGATAGGGGAAGGATCCCGTGTGCTATCCAAAGAAATGCATCTACGAAAAATACATCCATAGCCCCCCGACCCCTCCCACTCTCCGTAGACCTTCTACACAGATGACTACCATATTGGCCAAAAGAGTCCACAAGACACGCATCTTCCTCCGCTTCTCCGCCTTCTCTCTCCATACCCAAAACCATACCCACACTACGGAGCCCCGCCCCCCAAATCTCCGTAGATCTTCTACACACATGACTACCATCCACCATCGACCAAAGAGCCTTCAAGCCCACCTTCCTCCGCTCCTCCTGCTTCTCCGCCTCCTCTCTCCACACCCAAAACCATACCCACACTACAAAGCCCCCCCCCCCCCCCCAAATTCCCTAAAACTTTTACATAAATGAATACCATCCACCCTCCACCAAAAAACCTTTAAACCCACCTTCCTCCCCTCCTCCCGGTTTTCCCCATTTTTTCTCCTCCCCCTCCTCCTCTCCTGGGCCAACTTTTTTAAACCCTCCAAGGTGTGCTTTTGCTCCTCCCGGGGGGAACCCAACCCGCGGTCCCCCTTCCCGTCCAAAGAAACCTGTGCAGGGCGAAAAAAAAAAAAAAAATTTTTTAAAACAATTCTTGCTGCTGCTGCTGCTTCTGTTTGTGGTGGTGTTTGCCATTTTTGTGAATTTTGTAAAGTTTGTGTTGGCGTGGCCTGTGCTGTATTCACCTCATGCCCACTACGCCCCCAAAAACAATTGAAACGTGCACGGGACATACAGCCAGTAACCTCCGCCAAAAAATTTACCTTTGTTTTTATAATTTGTAAGGAATTTGGTTTTAAGGC